CGGGCCATACACGCTGTACTGCATGTTGAAGGAACTCACGTCCGAGTTGTTGGTGCTGGTGTGGTCGCTCTGGCTCTTCTTCCTGCGCTTCATGACCAGCACGAAGAGGCCGGCAGCCACGAAGACCGACATGATGAACACCAGCAGCAGGCTGAGGATCAACACCGACAAGGGCACCGACGACGCCCGGCCGCCGCCCGCCCCCAAGCCCGCGGGGGCGCCCGTGCCGTTCAGGCGCACCGCGGGGGTCCCCACGCTGGTCCTGGCAGGGAGCTGGATGGAAGAGGGCGTGGGTGTGGACACCACCACGTCCGAGTAGTCCGGGCACAGCAGCTCGGACTTGAGGGCACGCATGTCGGTGTCGGCGAACTTCTTGGGCGCCTTGCAGATCACCTCGTCCACCAGGACGCCCGCCTTGAGCTGCTCCACCCACAGCTTCATGCCCACCACCTCGCACGTACACTCCCACGGGTTGTCGTGCAGGTCGATTTGGATGAGCGCCTTCAGCTGGTCCAAGACGCCGCTGACGGGCAGAGAGGTGAAGTGGTTGCTCCTCAGATTCAGCCGGAGCAGGGTGAGGCCTGAGAAGACCCCCGACGGCATGGCCTGCAGCAGGTTGTTGTTGAGGAATAGCAGCTGGAGGTTGGGGACCGGATCGAACGTTCCAGACTGGATCTCGCGGATGAGGTTGTACTGCAGGAAGAGATACTGCAGGCTCTGCAGGCCATAGAACAACTCTGGGCTCAGCCGCTCGATCCGGTTGCCATTCAGGTAAAGGCGTCTCAGGTTGCTGAGATCCCCGAAGGCTCGATCCTGGATGGTGGAGATCCGGTTGTTACCCAGGTGCAGGAGGTCCAGCCCCATAGCCTCCAGGAAGTCGGCCCTGCGCACCACGGCGATGTAGTTCTCCGTCAGATACATCTTCTTGGGGTTGTAGGGTTTGGGCTGCAGCTCGGCAATGCTTTCGATCTTGCGCTCCTGGCAGTTGACGTTCAGGCCCAGGTCAGAGATCTGCAGGTTGCAAGTGCACGCGGTGGGACACTCCAAAGGCACCGGGGATTTGGTCTGGTAGGCGATGCTGGGGCCATAGTTGCTGTAGCCCAAGTCCTTAGAGGGCTGCCTAGAGGTGGGGCGCACTCTGGGCTTGTTGGGTTGGCGGGTCCCCTTGGGAGGTTTCAAGGGGGGTTTGTAAACAGCAGAGGAAGAAGTAGCCACGGAATTCACCGAGGCTGGGGTGGTGTGCGAGTACCCCGTGGTGCTCAAAGGCGTCTGTGGCCTCATCTCATAGTCTGAAATAAGTTTCCTCGGGCAAAGTTCCTGCTTGGATACCTCGTCCAAGTCCCGGCCATGTAAGCGGAAGGGTGTCTCGCAAACCACATCCCCGACCAGGGCGGAGTAAGAGATGCTGTCCAGCCAATCCTTGAGAGAGATCAGCTCGCAAGAGCAATTCCAGGGGTTTTCCTCCAGCTGTAACTCCACCACTTTATCCATGTGCTGCAACAGGCCCACGTAGGGCAGAAGTTTCAGTCGGTTTCCCCGCAGGTCCAAGTGCGTTAAGGGCACAAAACGGAAGAGGTTATTGGGTAAACCTGACAAGAGATTGTCATTGAGGATAAGCACCTGCAACAAATGCAGTTTCCCAAAAGCATTGGGTTCAATGACACTGATGTAATTGTAATCGACCTGTAGGTATTCCAGATTCTCCAAGCCAAGGAAGGTATCATCGCGCAGAAGTTCCAGTTTATTATTGTTCAGATGCAACCTCCTTAAACCCCGCAGCCCATGGAAAGCCCCCGTCTCAATGTCTTGGATTACATTGCTACCCAGATGCAAAATCGAAGCCCCTGTATAATTGACAAACTCATTGGGATAGAGTCGGTTCAAAAGGTTTCCAGACAAGAGGAGATGATAGATTGGGAAACGGGGAGGGCTGATTTCAGAGAGGCTGATGATCCCTCGGTTCTCACAGCTCACGGTTAAAATGCCGTCCTTTTCCTCACAAGGACATGCATTGTCACAGATTTCCCCATAATAATCGATGGTTTCTGCACACGAAAGGACGAGAGATGTTACAGCAAATGCTAGAGTCTGCAGCATCCAGCTATGCATTTTTCTGTGAAGGTCCTGTTCCAAAGTTACTGGGGGGCAGCAAGTGTGCATTTTACCTCCTGCAAGGGAGAGAGGAAGACAAGGAAACAATAGGACATGACAAAAATGTAAGGGATGGATCAGAGAAAGCCTCTCTCTTCCCTTATACTACTGCTCTGAAATCCAGGAGGAGATATGAATGACACCCCCCTCCCTAACCCAGTGGAACATAACAGTCTCCAGACTTGATTAAATTTTGATATTCATTGTGATTTAAAGGCTCACTTCATTTCCTAATGAGCATAGCACCGATGTGCCACTCTTTACGAGGCGAGGGCAGATTGAAGTCCCATTTTAGTGTTCTCCACTCCTCCCCCCCCTTTTCCAAAACCAATCCATAAATATACATAAAATGGCTGTCAGTTCAGTTTCATGGCTCTAATTTAAGAGAAAAGAAGCATCATTTTACAGTGCTCCCCACCTCACCTATACCCTCCCCCTCCTCCTCAGTTAACAGTTCACCAGGAAGATCTGTCATTTCTTAAAATTATTTATTTATTTTTAAACAGAAAAGCAAGGAGCTACACTACTTGGGCTATTTTAAACCATCGCAAGAAATGTTAGGGTGGGAACCTAAAGAATACTTTTCAGAAGCAAAAGGGATCCAAGATAATGCATCAAAGGGGCCGGGGAGAAGCTCTTAAATCACCAATTGTCTCCCGGAGCTCGGGATGGGGAGGAAGAGGAAAGCGTGCTTGCTTTGATGGTGGACTTTCGCTAAGACGCTATTAAGCAACACCAGCCTCCTAATTGCATGCACGGTGCCACTTAGCAGCTCTTCCCGAGAGCGCCCTGCGACCACTTCTCTTCATTGATCATGCCAGCCACGCCACCAAACCGCATCTTTAAGCAACTGAAATAGTTCTGCACGATGGATTACAAAGAACTCAGCGAAGGCATCCGCAATCTCGGATTACCTCTGAATACCTTGAGTTTATAAAGAGGACATTGCTACCGCTTACCCACAATCAGCTAAAAGTAAACCGAGGACCAGCGCCAAAACCTCCCTTACCTCGGGCACCGCGTCTAAATTGCCACGGTATGCAAAAACTAACCCTACCAAATTAAGCTGGATTTGAAAGGAACTACCACCTCGCCAACATCTCCATCTTTGGAGTTGCTTGTTACATTTAATTGTCCATGCCCCCCCATCCACCCCTCCCATTTCACTCCCTAAGTGCCAGGGATTCTGGGCAGTTTACAAAGCAACATAGAGGGATGAAAGGGAAGAGAGCGAATGACACAGGTCAGGGCTGTAACGTCCGAATTTCATCTCTCCAAGGAATCAATCGGATCCCCTCCTTCCTCTCCTCCCCCTCCCCCTCTCTCTCAGAAGGCTTCTTTTGACTTGCGACTCTCGGTGGACAGTAGCACCCTTAAAGGCAGGACATAATTGAATGTGTGTGTGCGTGTGTGTGAGTGCGTGTTGCATTGGTTAGCGGGGTCGGCGCGCGGAGAAGATGGGCTGCTGGATTTGATGGGAAGAAATGTGCTGGGCTGTGGGAACGGATGGCTGTTCTCCTTAACATTGCCTTCTGCCTTACCACCAAAGTCTGGTATACAATCGCAACCCCCACCTATACAGCCCTAAAGACAAGTCCTTTGAGAGGGAGGCACAGGTTCACAGCCTGGACCCCTTGCTTTTGATCCCCCAAGTCGACTCTGGCCCGCGTTATTAAAAGTGCCGGCGTTCACACGCACGTGTGCAAGTGTGCAGGCGAATCTTTCACGTTCGGCCACTCAGATGTGGCAGAGACACGAAATGGGTACCACCGGGTGGAAAGCCATACCCAACCTCCCGTCACCATGGCAAAATGTCTCCTGGCCTAGAACACCCTCTGAGGAAAGCAAAACGTTTACCTTGAAATTTGGGTTCTCCGCTGGATCAAATCTGCACATCCATTCAGCTGGGCTGGGTCCCCTCCCCCAGCCCTCGCTGCTCTTCCCCGCCCCCCATTCACCTCCTTCCTCATCTGAGAGCAGCCCATGGCAAATTGTGTCCAGCCAGTATGCAACTCGAGCGTTTACAACTTTAATTCAGTTCTGGTGAGCCAGGGTGGGATAGCTGCAGCTCGCTCCGCTCCCCAGCCATCACGGAGACGGAAAATTGGAGGAAATAAAGTTGAATGAGCCGGGGAAGGCTGCCATGCAGACTGGGAAACGCACCGGCGGTGGAAATTCGCGGGTGCATATCACATTGTCAGATTATCAAGGAAGAAGAAAAAAAAAAACAAAACAAAACACCAAACTGGAGGGCGGGGGCGAGGGACTGTATTTGTTCTTACACCCCCCCTCACCCCGAAACATACACACACACACACACACACAACCAGCGAGAGCCGAGACCACAGTCGAGTCTATGGCTGCATGGAAAGCAGCGTGGAGCGGCTCGGGCTGGAGCCTAGTACCCAGGCCCAGACCCGCAGCTCAGGGCACAGCTGCCCGAACGACCGCCCAAGCAGAAACACCCGGAGTTCCAGGACGCGAGGATCCCCTCCCCCACCCCTCCCCAAAGCGAAGGAAGGAAGGGTAAAAGGGAAGAAGAAGGGGGGGGGGGAGGAAAAGAAAGCCACTCTGCTACACACACACACACACACACACACACACAGCACAGAGCGAGCCTCTTTTACAAAGTAAACGACAGACTTACCCCGTCTCACATCTCTGGGGCCCACTCCTCAGAGCCATCCTTAGGACCGTGCCCTGGGCTTCGGAAGCCCAGGCGGAGAGAAAGCCGCGGGCAGCGCGGGGTGAACCGCTGGAGGAAAGCGGCGCCTGGACGCCGCCAGCCCCGGGCCGCCGCCGCCGCGGTGGCGACCGCGGGTTCCGGGGCTCCCCAAACGGCTCTCCCCGGCGCTCTCCGCGGTAGTCGGAG